GAGATGAAGGATCTGGGCCTGTGCACCACCATTCTGGGTATTGACGTTGTTCAGGAGCCAGGCCAGAGTTGCATCAATCAAGAAGCTGTGGTACTTCGTCTGTTGGACAAGCATGGGTGCAGTGTGCCAATCCAGCACATTCATCTCCCTTTCACTACCAAGCACATCATTCGCTATCTCTAGCATAGGGCCAAATTGGGTATTACCTACAAGCGCAGCGACTCGTCTTCTCTCACTGGATACACGGATGCCAATTACTTCCACCCGGACTATGCCACTGTGAACATTGGGTTTGTTGTCAAGATAGGCGGCGGCGCAGTAACCTGGAGGTCTAAGAAGGTCAAACCAGCGATTTGCTTAAACAATTTCACATTGGTATGCCCAGGCTGACAGCCCAGCATACTTAGCCTGTTGTGATAATATGTGACATGTGTTCTTTCACACAAAGAATACCTTGTGTGTACACGAGTTTTACTGTAAAAAGACAACTTTTTGGCACAACAAAGGCGCTTTATTATTGATATTGCAAAAGATAGACAATAAATCATCTAGTGGATAAAAACATGTTCCATCTTGGCGTATCCTGAGAGGGCGGCAGTGAGATGTTAGAAATTAAAGTTTGAGAGGCGCTCAAAGTGTCTTTGTCCTGAGTGTGTGAGATGAAGTGTGGAATATTATCTTACCACTGAGCTCGTTTTCGCCTTGGACAAAGTGATACCACCTGTTAGCCGCCAATATCCAGCATGTATGGAATAAGGGAGAGGCCTTGAATTGCATGAAAGCGCAAATAAAGTCAGGAAAGTGTCAAAAATTTCTATTAGTGACTAAAATTTGGCACTAGTATATATATGTACATAATGACACTGCCTATAGCCGTAGCTCTTAGCTCGAATTGGCGCTTGTTGTTTAGTGGCAGAATAGCAGCCTTCCAAGCTGTTGGCCCGGGTTCGATTCCCGGCGGGCGCATCCTTTTTTGCTGCAATCTGAGATCTCCTTTTTGGACCTGCCACTAAATAGTGGCACGATCCATATTTTTTTGCTTTAGGTACCTGTCGATAGCGCACTGCCCAAGTCCAGTACTCGCTGATATGATCTATTGCCAAAATATTTAGTGAATCGAGGGCATTGCAAGCTTGACCAACAAGTCTGGCGGTGTAAGGTTGGGTACTACACATACGGACATCTTGTCGAAAATCGCAAGCGTTTGCGTGAATCTCTCTTGGCTGGCGGCGCACGGTATGTTGACGGCAAGCTGGCCACCCTCGTCAATTATCAGCGCTGACATGTTGCTGGCAAGATCATCGACATCGTTGGCATGCGAGCTTGCCTCCCATATAAGAGTTATCGAGGAGGCATCGACAGACCAAAGGCAGAGCTTCCAAGTTCTACCATCCAGTGACTGCACTTGCGAGTTCTTGTCAGCCAAGCGATCCATGTATATCAAGCTCTCGATGCCAAACATTGGCACGGTCAGCACGAATCCATCCGCCTTAATCTTGGTAACTATGGCCAACGAGACAACGCCAGGGGTGTCAAACTGAGCAGCCTTTTGAGCCAGGTAGTTGACCAGAAACAGCTTGGAGCTTGCATCCTGCGCCTTCTTGGCCGCGTCCTTGCGCAGGTTACACTGGTGAGCAATATCGGCAATGGTCTTCGAGTTGGGGATAAGCAGCGATTGGGCATCCTTGCCACTAACTGTTAGTGAGCCATCAGCCAAAGTCCTGGGGAAATAGGGCGAGTAG